AACCAATCTTTCCGATTGACAAACAAAATTTGTCATCGCGCGTCTAAGTTTCCCAGCGTTTAATTGTTTTCCTTGTACTATATATAAAGTTTTGGGTTTGTAGTATAATTAATACAAAGCTGACTTACTATTCAAACTATTTGATCTTATAAACAACAATGCTAAACGTAATTAATTAATTTCTATTTATAAGAAGTGGACTAGAAGAAAATTCAACTGCTGTTTGTTAGTTTTTCTATGAGAAATCGAAAATGAATAAAAACTGTACCTACAGGTTTTTAAAGAACCTTACGTTTTTATGCTATCAACATCAGATTGACAAGCTACTTCACTCGCTCGAGGCTTAAGCTTGTTGTGAATTATAACGCAACAGGCTACGAAAAACAGCAAAGCATGCCAAACCAAAGTGCACTTTGCATATGACGTAGCCTGACGGCATATAACTGTTTGTTTTATAACAAATAGATAATAGTAGATAATAGATAAATTTAACAAAAATATAATAATAATATAGCAAATATATGTTAACAAAGTTTTTGTCACTCGCTCTTCCATAATACCTGAGATCCATCGATCACCTTAAAATAAATTGAAAACAACTTGCAAACAAAGCCAAATGGCTGCAAACAACGTCAACCAAATGCCAAACATGTACTCACAACAATTCTCAATTTGCAATAACAATAACAATAACAATAACAAGAACAAGAACAACAACTTATTCGAGCTTATTTGCGAGTCGCCGCGAAATTTGTTATTATCAGCAAAAAGTGAGGCGTGTGGCAAATGTGTATGACAAATGGGGAATGACGACAATATCAAAGTTGGAAAGAAAGTAAATATCTGCCAGGTTGGGGGCTACATGGAAGTTAACAGGCAACTCCCCTAGCTGGTCAGTGGAGCCGTTGGTAGGTGGGCGTGGCAAACATATTATGCAAATGATCGCACGGACATGTCAGAAGTTAAAGAGATTAACGCACATTAGCCTAACAGCTGCCACGCCCACAGCGGCAGCCGAGTTGTAAATGGAATTTAATTATTTAATTAATTCAAATAAATAACGCAAATTAGAAAATGTCGAAAAAATAAATGGAAATAAATATATATGTGCGGAATATGTTAATGCGGTCAGCACTAAATCATAATTTGTCAACAATTTAATAAAGCCAAACAATTTGCTTTTGTTGCGCTTTTCTCGTGTCTTTTATACGAATAGTTTTGTGCCAGATACCCTGTAATTTAAGTGAATTGTCAAAGAGGGTAGCATAGCAAAGTGAAGTTATATAAGCGAATTTATTTAATTGCAATGGGTATATTCCAGTCGAATACTCTCGTTTGTTTGGGTTTTCCATTTGACTGGCTGCGAGTTGTTGGGCCGCATCTTGTATTCTTTTTTTTCGCATTGTTTTGTTTTGTTTTGTTGTTGTCAGTTTTATAAATTGTATCTGTCAGATATGCGCTCATTAGCATTGAATTCGCATTCATTTGCCAGCTCCAAATGCAGCTCTGATGTGTTTAGAAAATATTTCGGGCGATCAGCTTGAAAGAGGAAGAGACCTTCAACAGCAACCACAAACGATACGAAATGTTATTTTGACACATTTCTCGCTTGTCACACGAATAGAGTTAATAATAAATAAATGCCCAGCTAAAGCCAGAAGAACAGCATTTGGAACAGCTCGCAGATACATCTGAAAGCAACAGATGAAAAGATGAAAAATCTATCTGCGCAGCACAAATGCCGCACACGGGAAATTGGGACACGTCAAAATATTTCAAATCAAAAGAACTTGAGACAATAAAGAACTAAAAATGAAAGCGTCGCGTTCTTAAGTTCTATATATCTATGCGCTATCTATACCTTGGCATGTATCCGTATCTGTATCTGTAGCTGTAGCTGTATCTGTAGCTGTATCTGTGTGTGCACTCGCTTTGTATCTGCGGCGCATTTGGAAAATGATGGCATTATTAATAAAATGGCAGTTTAACAATTTCACAGCTTCTAAACAAATCTTCACCCAACACAGTTTGTTATTTCTTGTGCTTCACTGTTGCCGTCTCTTTCGCACCTTGAAAAGCTAAAAATATTTGAATATTTGTTTAATTTCGGTGACAAATGTGTTCTATTTAGAGTTATGGCGCGTGTGATTTGCCATGGCATTGCGATTGATATATTTTCGTTTTTATGATGGATTATCAACGTATTTTGGGAATATAAGATATGAATAGACATGACATGCTGAACATAAGGATGAAAAGCTAACAGGAATTGATAATAACTAGAATATATTAGGCTCGATTAAAGGGCTCTTCTGCAACCACAGTTATAATAGAATATTTTGTTAAGTTCGTAATTCAGTTAAGGGATTTATTTTAGGCACTTGGGCAAACAATAATCAAAGGTCTTATTGTAAGCCTTGTGCCACATCAATTCCAATAAATCGCAGTCAATATTTCAATACAATAAATCGCACGCAAATCTAAATTTCAATCCGAAAATCACTCGGAAAATGCCCTCCAGGCGGCATTTGGAAAACATGCTACGATATTTATTTATGCCCCCAATATGCATGTGTGTGTGTGAGTGTGCTGGTGTGTGTGGGTGTGCTTCACTCTGTTCTGACATTCAAAGTCTAATTCATAATAGATTCATGCGCTGTGCGCCGCATTCAGTCGAATTTCTGCCTCGACACACACGGCGTATAAGTAATAAGTTTTATTTGGCACTTGCCTGCCAACGATTTCTGTTGTTGTTGTTGTTGCTGTTGGCGTCATTTAATGGCTAACCAATACGACATGTCTATATATCAGCCGCTGTATCCATAGCCATGTATCTGTATCTGTATCTGTATCTGCTGCTGTATCTGATGCTGTATCTAGATACATTCCGGTGTGTATCTGGCGATCTTTGTGCTAAAATTAATTTGTAGAAAAATGCGTGCGCTGCTTGCCGCGGCGGCACGGCGGCACGGCTGCTGCACGGGTGCCACCGGCCGCGGTTGCGGTAGCAAATTACGAGAAAATTAAATGTTGATTTAATTTTGAAAAGCAATTTTTCATTTTTAGCGTCGTCGTTGTGGCGACGCAATTGACGTATGTATCTGTATCTGTATCTGTATCTGTAGCTGTAGCTGTAGCTGTTGTAGCTGTATCTGTATCTGTATCTTTTGCTGTTGCCATAGCTGGGCATTTGCATGCGCCTCCCCATCGTCGCATGCGCCCCTCCCCCCTACCCCTGCCTGTGCCAGAGTATTTGTATTTGTATTTGTATTTGAGTTACAATTTTGTTTCGCTTCGTTTTCGCTACGGCAATAAATTGCACTTTGCACGTCGTTGACGGGTTCGTTGCCAGCTGCAAAACGACTAAAAAATGTATATATAAATATATATATACTATATACGTTCTATACGTTCGGTTTATATTTGCAATACTTTTATATGCCCAGCAGCGGATTTGAGGTAACATTATGACCATATGCCAAGCATTGTTGACGTTTCAAAAACGCATCTAAACAAGTTAAGCGAAATGAAAACGGGAGAGATTAGATAACTTTACGCAAGCCGAACTTTAAATACTCTTTAAATACACACATTTTGAAGCTGAGATGTATTATTATCATTCAATATAAAAATATTGATGACATATATTAATAAAAAATATTAGTTAGTTATGCTTATTTTTGTTAATTTATAAGAAAACAAAAAACGGAATAAACAAATAATAATTGAAGCCTTCTGTGTCGATTGGTTGTACCCCACCAAAAGATGTACATCAGAAGCAGAGTAAAAGATGTACATCAAAAGTGCAACGTTAACTAATCATGGTTCGAATCCCAACCAGGTTCATAAAGGTGCAAAAACCGAATCAGGATCCAAGCCGAAGCTTCTCAGACTTTTGATAGACGCGTAGCTAGAGTTGAACTTTGAACCTTTTCACTTCGATTTCTTGTCTATCTTGATATCAACTGGTTTTCGCCGCGTTTCTCTGGCTGCCAGGCAATTCATCTATTTAAGCACCTGAAACGGTAACCGCACACATCTATTTTTATGCGCGAACTTTAAAACAGGCGCTTACTCGAATCTCTGCTGTTGTGTCAGTTGGCCGGCATCGGCATTTAAGCTGATCTATTGCCGGACTAAGGCACACACAAAAAAAACAACGTTTCTCCGGACAACCGAACAGCGTATTCGACACGCCCACCTATGGGTGCTGATGCTGCTGGGGCTGCTGCTGTTGCTGCTGCTGCTGGCGGCATCCGCACGGCCAAAGTCAAAGGCCAAAAAAGGCAACAAGAGCTACGTTTGATCCATTGGCCGTTGCCCCCTTTTGGCTTGAATCGAGTTTGGCTTTAGAACTTGTCGGCGGGCCGGGCTAATACCAATTAGTGTTCGCCGTTTCGAGCAACAACAAAAGCCGCCTCAAAAGATTTATGACACCCACTCGGCGGCGGCTCACGGAGGCTAACGGAGGCTCACGGAGACAGGCTCAAGGCGGCGCCAGCGCAACATGTTGCGCTTAATTGGAAACATGTTGCTGGCAACATGCAATTTGGAGCAGCATCAAATCTGTTTACAAATGCTTAATTGTTTTCTTCTTCTCCTCTTGTTGTTGCTTTCATTTCGTAATGCCGTCAATTTGACAATGGCTTCATGTGTCAATGCGTCAATAGGGCAGAATCAGCGTAAAAGACTTGAATGAAGCCGAGCTGAAACTGTGCTAACTGGGCTTATGGAAATGTTGTTGTTGTTGTTGTTTCTTCGTTTTTACACGTGAAATTTGGCTTTGTTGTTGCGCGCGTAACAAACGCGCAAATTCTTCATTTAGCTTTTATTTTTTAATATTTTTTTGTGTAATTTTTAATTTTTTTTTTGGTTTTGTTTTTTTGCTTTGCCAGCACAGAAGGTGTTTGAGTTGTTTGTTGTTGTCGGTTGTTGTCGGTTGTTGGTTGGTTCTGCTTCTGGGTCATCGCTCTTAAAATATTTAAATTGTTGTTGCTCACCTTTATTTATTTTTTTTGTTGCGACGTTTTTGCTGTTTGTGTGTTGTTGTTGTTGTTGGTGCTTCAGCCGAAAGTTGTCTTTCGTTTTTTATGCCCCATCACATAGAAGACAAGCAGCTCCAGTATAAATATATTTATATATATATATATATATATGTATTCGCATGTAAAAAATGAAAAGTACAATCCACCGTTTTTTTCTCCCTCTTTGGCTGGTCGTTGATCCGGCTGCGAATTGGCGCATTTAACTGATTTGGCAGCCACATATATATATGTATATAAATATATACATATATGTGTGTGTGTACATATGCCTGGTGACAGGGTTCTCAGCGGATTAGCAACTTCTATTTTTAAGCATTTAATGAGTGAACTAAGCCCTGATCTCTATGATGTAATGACCGAGCCGCCCAGAGGCAGATACTTTTGATTAACAAACTTGCGCATAAAGTTGCCAAGAAGCACAAAAAATCAACAAAGTTTGTAAGATTTAAGTCCGCTTTGGATTTATATGTGAAATAAATTGAGCGTTTTTTATGGCATATGCAAATTTTCAGCTTAAGAGCTAATCTATAAATTCTAGATATTGGCTGCTTGGATAAATATAATATGGATAAACATAAATAATACAAATTGGTTATTCTAGATATTAACCATATACGCTTGGATAAATATAATATTTTAGAGCCTTATATCTATCGAAGAAGGATAAGAGGCTTGTTAGAGGTAATAGACAGCAGAGAGAACCTCCGATCTGTTGAATATAAACAGTTATATAAGATATAAGATCTTGAGATTTGAAATAGCTATTCACATTCATAAGCAGACATTTATCCCCCGCTTAGTCAATAATAGATAAATAAAGATTGCTTAGCAATTGAAGTTAAAGACAGAGCACAGGGCATCTCTCCGTCGAGCATTCTTTTGGGCTAACTCAAATTCAACCCAACGTTTGGGTTAATTCTCAGCATATGCTGTGGCTTTCATCAGTTTTGGAATTGCAGCTAACCGAAAATAGTTTCAATTTCGTCTAACTTTGCGAATTTTCCTTCTGCTTGGCAGCTTCAATTGATGCGGAAGCATTGAATACGGCGTTGACTTCTTGGAAAAGCGATAAACTCCCATATAGCACCTAGAATGTGCACCGGCTGTGGCAATTTGGTGCGTCTTATGGAGGAAGCATCGCAGCCAGCCAGCCAGGCAGACAGCCAGGCAGGCTGGCAGGCAGGCAGGCAGACAACGGAGCATCCCCATGCAAGTGGATGCCATATATCATGCCATGGCTGAGCGCGCCAAGTGCGTGCCCAGTTCATTAGGAGCACATGGCAATATGGGCAATGCGGGCTGCCAGTTGGGGGGTGCGAGGGGAGGGGACTAGTCAGTTGCTTGGCTGCTGCTTGGCAACTACTTTGCACTTTGCCAGATACTTAACTTGCAGTTATTTACAAGTCATGCTTGCTGCGAATTCGCTTGAGTGTGCAGAGAGTGCGAGAGAGAAAGGGAGAGAAAGGGTGAGAGAGAGCGACGGTGAGAGATTTCGTCGACTCGGCCGGCCGTTCATGCTGTTGATGCTCCTGATGAGGATGATGATGGGCCGCCGTCTCAGCTAAGCGTTGAGCAGCCAAAATCTGTTGGCGTTTTTTTTTTTTTGTTCTTTCTGCATCTTCCACCTATTTATAAACGCATTTATAAATAAACAACGTGAACGAGTTGTCGTTGTAATAAATATTGCGACAAACAAACCGACAGCCAGCGACTGCGAGACTGAGAGACTGCGAGATGAGAGATGGGAGATGGGAGACTTCAAGACTGCGAGACTGGGAGACGGGCACAGACATGCACAAATATATTTATATTTAGCCAATTTTCAACGCTTGTTGACAAAACTGTCAACAAAATGCAATGCAAAGCGTAATAAAATTGTCCAAGAAGCTGAAGCAATTGAAGCGGCAGCAGGCAAAAGACTTTGCCGCCGCCACGACGGCCCGGGGGCATGCCAAACAAAGTTGCCACGCGTGTCTGACAGCCAGCGGGGCAAGCCGCAAGGGGGCACGGGGGACAGGGGACAGGGGGCACGGCAAAGTGATTGTCAGGTTACGTATACGTACGTATACGTATCGATAAATACAGACACTGACAAGTCCTGCTGCTGAGAGTCGCCCCGCTGTCTGTGCTCAAAGTTAATCCAAGCATATTAATATGTATTTTTTTTTTCAAAATAAAGTCTACTTTAAACATAAGATATGCGGCATTTACGTAACGTATATTGTATAAGGCCTTAAGCTGAGCTTGAAATTCACACGTTTTGCCGCTCAATTACCACTTGGCCCACATTATAGAAGCTCAGCTCGTTGCTGGACCAATTTGCCAGCCCTAAATCACGGGCTGCCTTCTTGTTTATTAACTCAACTCTCGGCCACTTGACACATTTGGCCAGAAGATCAGTCACCTTGCCGGCTGCACGGCCACACAACAAATCTTCGGCACAGAACAACAACAAATCTTGGAGAGAAACAACAACAACAACAACAACAACACCAAAAAAGTTCAAGTCAGCTAATAAATTTAAACACACACACACACACACACACACACACATATATATATATATATGTAGATACAGATACAGATACATACCCCTGTTTATTTCTCGCTCTCGCCATAAATAAACTATACAAATATTTGGCTGAGGCGGCAAAGCAACGAGCTCATAAATCTGTAAATAAATAAAATAAATTTTCGTATATATCAAAATGTATCAATAAAAATGCTCAACAAGTTTTATTTGCGTGGCCGCATAGAAAAAATTAACATTTATCATAACAAAATCGGCAAAGCGATCGGGCAGCGCAGTCGCCGTCGGCGTCGCAGTCAACGTCGACTGAGCTGCTCGCTAATTTGGCGTGTTAATTGCTAGCATCGGAGACGGAGACCCCAAAAGAGATCCCCAGCGAAACGAGACGAACAGCGAGAGAGGACAGACACGAGAGGAGAGACGCGAGAGAGAGAGGAGAAACTTTGGCTCTTGGACTCTCTGAACGAATCGCTCTCCCGTTTGGGGGCCATAAATTTGATGTGTTTTGTGGCAGAACGAAACGTTTAAGCCGCAAAATGACAAACAGCGAATTAACAAATTAATAAATTATATTTTTTCTTCGCCTCTTGGCGCCGTCAAAATGAATATTTAATAGTTTAAATGGACGGGGCGGGGCGGGGCGGGGCGGTCTGTGTATCTGAAAGATACAGTATCTACAATTAATGCGCAGCATAAATTTGGCACAACGCTTTTGCATATCTATTCAACGGTCGGCAGGCGTTTAATTGCCCACCAAATGGGGCGTGGCTAACAATGACGTCAACAAGTTGCCGCCCCGCAGCCGCAGCCGCATCGAATCAATTTGCAACACGGCGGCGCGGATTTGATCAACTCAAGTGGGCGCCACCAACTGCCTGCCAGCCGAGAGACAAGTGCAAAATATCGAGAGGAAAAAAATGGGAAGAGAAAAAAAAACGTGAACGAAATCGTTTTGCATGCAACACATTTTGTGGCACATTGCGGCCGCTTGCCACACACGGAAATCTCGGACGAACTCCCGAAAAAAAAAAACAAAAAAAAACAACAACTTGCACACATGAAAATATGCCTGGGCCGAGGCAAATGCATTTGCAATAAATGTATCTAGATACATATGTATGGCTAATTTGCTGTCAATTGCCGAACATGAGACCAACTGAGAGTGTGTGTGTGAGTGTGTGGGAGTGTGTGTGTGTGTGTGTCTGAGTACTTGTAATAACATAAATAAGATGGCAGAGCGGAAAAACACTCGCATCATTTGTAACCCACTGTGACGGTGCATTGATCTCCCTGTGGTGTTGTGTGTGGTTGTGCGGTTGCCTGTCCGTGTGTGTGTGAGTCTCTCTGTGTGTGTGTGTGTGTGTTTATGGCTGCATGCCAACAATAAATACAACAACAACAACAATTATATGGCAATTGATGCAGCAGCTTTTAAAGAGCCAGCCGATAATTGTAATGGAAAAGTTAAATAAATTAAGAGAAATCATTTCACATTTAAGCAGAGAAAAGAAACTTTAGTCAAACATATATGGAATTTAATTTATAGGAAATGCTACTAATATTCTTTAAGAGTTCATTACAAATACACATATTTAATCCTAACTTGAGCTGTGCAAAGCTTTTCTCTCAAAATTTGAGTTTCACAATTTTCAGCTTCTCTTTTAACTTTTGCCCGCGCCTTTTCTATAGACTTGGCAAATGTGTTTCTTGGCTAACATTATTGCTTATAGATTATAGCCCTATTGGCGCTTATTAAACACTTAATTTATATAACCAGAAAAATAATAATAATCATACGCCATGTGGGCCCCGCTAATCACTGAGCCGATTAAATATGGCCAAACGATTGCGAAACTGAAATGCATAACTAAAAAGGAAGAGAATTAACAGTAGCAAGCCGGGGCCTGAATACCCTTGCGTAAATATGAAAAATGGGCGATATTCTTAAGAGACTTACTTTTCTGGGATCTTTATGGGATGGCACACAGAATGAGCTCATGCTTTGGGAGCATATTTAAACTCATTAAGGCTGACTTAGATATACCTCAGATATCTTGAGAATCAAAATCTCCTATCGAATGACAGCTCTACTCTATAGAGGTTCGATCTGCCTCAACATAAGCTGGATCTAGGCCAAGTTTCAGCAAAGTAGCCACAAGACTGAGAGACTATTCCGGACTAAGAAACCAGACAAACTGTCGGTAGCATAAAGCTATATCGAGCTGATCAAGAATTTAAAAACTTAATTGTTTGCACAATTCATGACATTATAGTAATACCCATTGTAGGGAATTGAACGCAAAAATGCAATTGGATTATCTCGCCATAATTTTTGATCTGTTTTGCAATTTCAATTGCATTCAAATTTGCCAAGCAATCAATGCAAACAGAAATATGCATCATAAAAATGGCAAATCCATTGCTGTACCTAAACGTGCACACATACACCTAATATAATATGCATACATATATATATATGTATATATATATATATATATATATATATATGCAGATGTGGATCAGCTTGAATGGGAATAGTCGAGGGTGCAAAATGCAAAATAGCCGCACATCAAATATAATGCAATGTGCATTTTCAATAAAATATCAAAACACACACGGCCCAAAAATGTGCAGCAGCAAATAGACAAGTGGACACACACATACACGAACACACACACACATACACGAACACACACTCGCACACACTTGAAATGCAATAATCATATTAAAATCAACATCAACTATGAAAAAAATTTCTAAAGGCAACAAAATAGTTCGTTTTTAAAGTTATTATTAGCCGCAAATGTGCGGCAATACAAACGCACACACACACACACACACACACACACACACACGCGCACACACACACAAAGATTAATGTACAAATATAGGTATTTATGTATAAGCACAAGTACAATCAATATATTGTTCATTGCTTATGCATAGCTCTGTGTATCTACAGAAATGTATCTGTATCTGTATCTGTGTACCTGTATCTGTATCTGTATCTGTATCTGTATCTGTATATGTAGCTGCAGCAATTGAATGACTGACAGCGAATTCACACATGTATCTGCATTTGCATTTGTATTTGCGCTTTGTATTTCGCATTTTGTATAAATCATTTAAGCGGCCACAAAATAAAATCAAGTTGAAAATATTCAATGAACTACTTTTCTGTTTGCAAGTGGCCAAATGTATGCAATCCATATATAAAAAGTACACATCCAACAAATATATGTATAAATATATATATATATTTATATGCTTGCATATATTTAAATACACATAGGCGTATATATAGACCTATAATGTGTGTGTGCGTCTGTGTGTGTGCGTGTGTGTGTGGCGGGAGGAGCACAAATTTGTTGCTGGGCTCACAGTTGAGCAGCGGAAATATTTGCACAACACAATGAAAATAAATAAATACAAAAAAAAAACTGTGCAGAAACAGAGAAATATTGCATATTAAATAAATTATAAATAAATTATAGGTAAATAATTAAAGCGACACAATTCTATATAAGTAGAACACAAAATGAAGGGAACTAAAAGCACATAATTATAGCTCATATTTAACATAATAATTTAAAATAAATATTTGTCAATCGATCGGAAGAGAAGAAGATTTAAAAAACGGTTTGAACCAGCTTGAAATCGGGTTTGAGCCAGCTCAAAACTAGCTGTGAAGCAGCTTTCAACCAATTTTAAAGCTGCTGTAAATTAGCTTTCAATCAGCTTTAAACTAGCTTTAAACGAATTTTAAGTTATTCTCCCAACCCATTGTAAGACAGCTTTGAACCAATTTTAAACCAGTTTTAAAGTTTTTTAGCTGTAAACCATCTTTGGGATAAACATAATCCATAATTCAGCTTTGAACCAGCCTTTAAACAAGATGTAAGGCAGCTTTAAAGCAGCTATAAACTAGCTATGAACTAAGTTTAACTCCGTTTTGAACCATCTTTAAGCCTAGCTTTGAACCAGCTGTGTAAGCCAGTCTCAAGTTAACTTTAAGCCAGCTGTAAACTAGCTGTGAACTAATAAGAGTCTAGTTTGAAGCCATCTTTAAACCTTTTGTAAGGCAGCTTGAGCCAATTTAACGCATGATTTGATTTGAACCCCCTTTGAATCACTTTTAGGTGCAAGGTTTATGTTTAATATGTTCAACATTATTAAATATTATCGTCCCCGGCCATTAACCAAATAAAGTGCTAGCCTTAAAAATCTAGATCTAGCCAAAATAAAAGCAAACCAACAAGCACCACAAAAGTACATATGTACATATCTATATAAATATCTGACACACACGCACACACTCACATTGTATGTCTTAATATTAATTTGGCATTTATAAATTTTGCAATTTAAAACGCAAATTTCAACAATTTCAGGCGTCAACGCATCGCCAGAGCAGCGCATCCCCCCTCCCCCGACCCCCCACAACATTTTGGTGCGCTCCTCCGCCTCGTTGCGCATACGCCGCGTTGGCCCGTCGCATATAAATTTGCGACTCAATCGGCAGCGGTTTGTTGTTGTTGCTGTTGTTGTTGTGGCTTGTAGTTGCTGCGGTCGCCTTTGAGGCGAGTGCCCCCGAGTGTGGCCCACAGTGTGGGCTACTTTTGGTCGATCCGCCTTCATTTGATATGCATTTAATTTGCCTCACCTTCCCTGGACCTCAGTCTTGGCGATGCTCGAGCGCACTATGGGCAGCAATTTATGCTCTGTGTGTGTGTGTGTGTGTTTTGTTTATTTTGCTTTTCTTAAAAATAAGTTTTTAATTGCGAGCTGAAGGCAGCAGCAGCAGCAGAGGCAGAGGCAGCGGCAGCGGCAGCAGTCGCGGCAGATTATTCGCCAAATAATTTGGCTCTTGGGGCAAAACCGATCGCAAAGTTTGCAGCTTGAGCGAAAATCGTTCTGTTGGGTAAACATCTCTCGGATGAGGCCCAGTGGCAATCTATGTTGTTGTTCTTGTTGTTGCTGTTGTTGTTGCTGTTGTTGTTTTTGTGCCATGTGGCGCAGCTAATCAGAGTTGCGCCCGCTCGCCGCCTGCAACGCCGTCGTCGAATAGTTGGCTAAATAAATTATCGAAATGAGCAGCGTTGAAATTAAACAGGTTGGCCGAGAATGCAGGCATTCGGCTG